CCACTTTTCTTTTTCTTCTTTTTATCTTCTTTGTAGTATTTTAAACCAAATGCCTAAACACTGTGCCATTTCACTGGTAAATACTCTTGTGTATCTCTTACAGATAAAGTTGGGTTTTGTTTATTTATTTAAGTAAGCTCTATACTCAATATGGGGCTCAAACTCACGACCCCGAAATCAATAGTCACATGCTCTACCGACTGAGCCAGCCAGGTACCCCAAAGTTTTTAAATATAACAAATATTTGGTAGAATTCACCAGGGAAGCAATTTGGGCCTGGAATATCATTGGAGGGAAGGTTTTTAACTACAAATGCAATTTCTTTAAGAGATATAGGAGCTTTCGGGTTATGTACTTCTTGAGCGAGCTTTGGTAGTCTGTGTCTTTCAAATAAATTTTTCATTTCATCTGGTTTGTTGAATTTATAGGCATAAACATGTATAACATTCCCTTGTTAACTGTAGATAACATATTTTTTACAAATGTAGATATAGAATCCATAGTTTTTTATATCTGTAGAATCCGTAGTTCTGTCATGATATTGGCAAGTTGTGTCTTCTTTGTCTCTCTCGCTCTCCTTTTCTTAATCAGTCTAAATAGAGATTTATCAATTTTATCTATTTTATCATAGATAAGCCTTTTGGTTTCAATAATTTTTTCTTTTATTCTTGTTTTCCATTCCATTGACTTCCCTTCGATCTTTATTACTTCCTTGCCTCTGCTTACTTTGAGTTTAATTTGCTCTTTTTCTTTAAGTTTCGGAAGGTAGAAGTTCATGAGGTAGAAAGTCACTAATTTGAGGTCTCTCCTTTTTTCTTATATAGGGGCTTAGTGCTATTAATTTTACCTAAAGTATATTTTAGCAGCATCACATTAAATCATCAGTGTTGTGTTTTAATTCTCATTCAGTTCAAAATACTTGCTAATCTCTCTTTTGATTTCTTCACTACTCATGGGTTATTTAGGATTGGGTGCTCAAAGGAGATCATCTACAGACCTCTGGGATAACCTACATAGTTTTCTATGGAGTTCTCTCCACTCCAGTATTCTGTCCCCTAAACTCTGGCTGCCTTGGTCTCCCTGGACTTTCTGTTTTGTCTCAACTCAGAGTGTCTGCTGAGTTTTGCCTGGGTTACCCCTTCCCGTGCTGCAAACTGGAAATTCTTTCAGTGCATTAGATGGAGGTGGTCATAGAACTGTTCTTGCTTCTCATTATCTCAGGGATCACTGTCCTTAGTTGTCTGATATCCAGTGTCTTAAAGACTACTGTTTCATATATTTTGTCTAGTTTTGGGGGATGTTTCAAGGAAAAGAATAAATCTGGACACTATTACTCCATCTTAGCTGGAAAAAGAAAGACAGGTTTTTTTTTATATATCATTATGAATTCAAGATTTTTATATATTTGGTTTGTTTTAATCCATTGCAGTCATTTTCCTTCTCGATGCTCAAAGTATGCCAACTTAGGCCAGTGGGAACAACTTCATGTTCGTTTTGGGTCCTTTTGACATGTTTCTACTAGTTCCTTTAGTAGCAAATGATATTTAGGCACTACAGTCTAGATATCAGGGGTTGATTACATATTTGCATTTGCTGAATCTCTTTTTAAAAAATAGGAGGGAGACCAAGATAAAAATATTTTATATTTATAAATAGGTACACTGCAGTGAAAAGAACAAACACACCTGTGTTGGAGAAGACTCAATTGTCACATACAACAAGTCACTAACGTTCTCAACTGTTAAATGAAGATCTTAGTATTGCTTCCTAAATATGGATCTAAAGTTTCCAAACACAGTCTAGTGAACCTAACTTTATCTTCTCAACTTGGGCTTATTCAGTCTTAGCTATTTCTGGACTCTAACTTACAGTTACAGGAGCCTAGAAGGAAGACCTCCTACTCCAATATTGTTTGATATTAGCAGAAGTTCTCTTAAGACTAAAGGTGTGTCATCAGTAAATATTGCACAGTGAATAAGAGTCTAGCCGATGCTGAGCACATCAAAGTAAAATTAGGCCCAAGGAACCATAGTTATAGGATATCAATATCCTTCCACCTATTCCCAATCTTCTGTCTCCTTGCCCTTGGTATAATAATCTGAGCTGTCACAAATCCCCAATTTTCCTTTCTAAATTACTAAAGACTTGACATTTCTTAGCTTCAGGGAGAGCCCCGCATAGTCCCTTCCAGGTCAATGATTCTTAGATGCGTAGATTCTTCTGGTTACAAGAAACTCTAGAGACAGATCATCTAATTCAGGCACATATCTTCATAGACAGGAAACTAAGGCATGGAGATGCCATTTGCCTTTAGCAAACCGAGAGCCCGAGACTTAGAAAAGTAGTATGTTGGAGAGAATTTCTAAACCATATAAAATTAAACATATTTAGACCAATAGCTCTCAACACTCTGTATCGCACATCTCTCTAATCATTTACTTAAAAATAACACACCATGATGATAATAAGGATAGCATAACTTCCTAGAAGCATTTATATATTAATAAACATTTTGTGAATGTAAATTATTTCGTGTAATGTCACAGTATGAAAACTGCCAGAATGCAAATATTTTCATAAAAAAGCTTTTATTTTATTAAAATCTGAGTTCTACTCCTAGTTTTCAGTAGATAAAACAATTAAAACAGCTTTGCAGAAGCTATGCATGCTTAAATTACTACCTTGCCTTCGCTTGAAACCAGGAAGCTAAGCAATATTACACCACAAATCAGTCTTATCAAAGCAAAAGACTTTGTTGAGCAACAAAGATGATCCTGAAAAGTTTCTGGACCAACTTTGATATTAATCCAGCAGATTTGGACTACTGACAGTCCAAACCACCCATTTTGGCCTATCATCTTCAGAAGAACATTCTCAGCAATTTGAGCCTTCCAACACAGACATTTGCTATTTGCTATAGCTGCTATTTTGTCACAGAGTCATTCTGATCTGTTAAGAACCAGTGTACCATAATTTTTGGCCATCTCAAAATGCTCAGGGAAGCACTTACTGATCTAATAAGTCTTGTTTTGTCTTTAATGAGTACAATTTCGAGTGATCATAAAAATCCCACATATGGTCATTATAACACTTGTTATGCACAATCTGTTCATCCAAAGGCATTTCTACTCTACACTACAAACAACATTAGATGTGATTAGAAAACCATTCATCCACCAAGATATTGAGGCCAAGGTTATAGGAAATGAATAAAAATTATGGTTATGTATGGTTTTGGTTACACTAAGACATTCTGATAGAACAATTATTGAGAATAACATGCTCTTCTTCTCCACTAACTTTAGGTTCTGACCCTCAAAATACAATTAAAGCTGATCAGTTATCAGACATTGGAGATGCAGGACAATCACAGGATCTGTTTCAGAAACACTAGACCAAAACAGTGATTTGGTATTTTTTTCTCAAAGTTTGCTCTGACTTTTCAGCAACTTAGATATCACAAAATCCATTTTAATATTAGTAGCTAACATTTGCTTAGCATTTACTGCAATCTCCATACTGAGGCAAGTGCCTTCAATTAATACCCTGAAAAATAATTTCTCCATTTCGCTAATAAGCGCCAGAGCCAGGATTCAAACTCAAGCTAACAACAGAGCCCAGGCTCCTATCCACTGTGTCTTATTGCCAGAGTCCTTTTTTTCTTTTTTTTTCCCCCCCGAGTCCTAAGTAACTCACAATCATTTGCTTTTTTCCTAGGAAGGAAAGAAAAAGATTATTTCCCACTAAACTATAAGCTTAAAGAGACCTGAAGAGACTAAGCTCACAGGGACCTGGGATCTCACCTGTTTTATTTCAACATTGTGCTACTAACACAGCAGTTTCCTAACAGTGGTGAAATGAAGAAAGGGTGAATGAAAAGGTTACTCAGCTATTAAGTGCGAGAGGCAAGACTCATACCCATTCTCCTAAGTACTATATGGTACAGTTAAAATTTATTCAGTGACAAATTTCAGATAATACACAGGTAAATTTTATAGTAGCCAGTTTTCCATTACACACATGTAAGAATTTGTTCCTAATTATTTTAAAGTTCTGGAGTGAAGATGACACATAAGCGAGAGGTTACAAAGGAAGTGGCATTGTCATCATCACTAAAATACCAGATTTCATATATCTGGTACATAAGTGAACTCTCTGAACTAGAAGGTTAATTTTTGACACACATTTACCTCTCTTTTCACCTTACATATTCAGCTTAATCATATGCACTGACCATATTCACTTCTTAAAAGCCAAATGCTCAAAGGACCTAATTATATGTAAGCAGTTAAAATCTCAACCAAAATATATTCTAAATGCAATAAATTAGCATTTAAATAATTTTTGTCATACAGATCATTTTCTTTAATGCATATATTTCATAGTCATTAGCAATGTAAAAGCAAAAAAGTAAGCTTCTTGTTTAAATGAATGTCCCATTTAAGAAAGGCTAAGTTTGGTATTGTTGCTTTAAACTGATTTTAACTATCAAACCCTAGTACACTTCTGTAATGGTCTGACTATTCCTCACTCAAGGACATTTAACCATGCCAGGGCACTGATATGAATGATCGAAACGCTAAGGAGAGGGCACCTGTATGGCTCAGTCAGTTAAGCGTCTGCCTTCAGCTCAGGTCAAGATCTCAGGGCTCCAGGATGGAGTCCCGCATCGTTGGGCTCCCTGCTTAGCAGGGAGTCTGCTTCTCCCTCCCCTTACCCTCTGCCCACCCACCACTCGTGCTCATGCTCCTCTCTCCCAAATAAATAAATTAAAATCTCTTAAAAAAAAAAAAGAAGGAAGAAAAAGAGAGAGAGGAGAGAAAGAAGGACAGAAAGAAAGAGAGAAAGAAAGAGAGAGAGAGAAAGAAAGAAAGAAAAAAGAAAGAAGAAAGAAAGAGAAAGAAGAAAGAAAGAAAGAAAGAAAGAAAGAAAGAAAGAAAGAAAGAAAGAAAGAAAGAAAGAAAAGAAAGACGTCAAGGAGATGGAGCCACGGCACCTACCTTGGTGAGGTGAATGACTCCTTTAGAAGTAACTGAACAACCCATGAAGCCAACGTACTGAAGTTCAGGACAGTGCTCAGCAAATGCTTTCACCGACTGGTCTGTCACCTAGGGAAGAGATGTGAAGAACGTTATTCAAGGTGCTATTCCAGTCAGTTTAAGGATTTGGCTCCTGCAAATTCCCTCTGCCCTATCTTGCATCATTAATATTTCCCTTTCCATTGGAGCATTTGAATCTGTCTACAAACATGCAGCAATATCTCCTCTGAGTTTTTTTAAGTTTATTTATTTAATCTCTACACCCAACGTGGGGCTCAAACTCACAACCCCAAGATCACGAGTCTCATGCTCTTGTGACTGAGCCAGCCAGGGGGGTCCCTCTCCTGCGGTTAAAAAATATTCTCCCTTTGTCTCACATCCCCTTTTCTCTATCACCCCATCTTTTTTTTACTTCTTCATAGAAAACATTTTTTATTATTATGTTATGTTAATCACATACATTATTATTTACATCATTACATCATTAGTTTTCGATGTAGTGTTCCATGATTCATTGTTTGCCTATAACACCCAGTGCTCCATTCAGTATTTCAAAGATGTCAACATCTCTACCATCACTTCTTCCTATCCAATCTCTCTCAACATACAAATTTTCTACTGACATATAATTCTCATACTATAAAATTCACCCTTTCAAAGGGTACAGTTCGGTGGTTTTTAGTATATCCACAAGGTTGTGCAACCATCACCAATATCTAATTCCAGAACATGCTCATCACTCCCAAAGAAACCCCATGTCCATTAGCAGTCACTCACCTATTCCACCCCTTGCCTTCAACCCCTGGCAACTTTCTGTCTCTAAGGATTTGCCAAGTCTGAACATTTTTTTATAATGCAAATTATATAATTGGTTCCTAAAATGCAACAAAGGTCTCTTTATAATAAGGTTTCTCCTTTCAAGTGTTTCTTCCAAGGAAATCCAATTTTGCCCCTCACTGCTTCAGATTCTTTTAATTTGGATAGTGTGGTGATTAATTCTGTGTCAACTTGACTATACCATGGGGTGCCCAAATATTTGATTAAACAGTATTCTTGGGTGTGTCTATGAGGATATTTCTGATGAGATTACCATTTGAAATGGTAAACTGAGTAAAGCAGACTGTTCTCCCCAATGTGAGTGGGCCTCATCCAATCCATTTGAGGTCTGAATGGAACAAAAAAGTTGAGGGAGGGAGAATTTGCTCACTCCAATGTAATAAATATGGATCTATTTATTCAGACTTGGACTGGAACTTACACTGTTGGCTCTAATGGTTCTTATGCCTTTAGACTCCGATTAGAACTATATCATCAGCTTTCCTGTGTCTCCAGATTTGTGACCTCAGATTTTGGAACTTCTTGGCTTCCATAAACGTGTGAGCCAATTCCTTACAATAATCTCTTTATAGAAACACACACACCCTCATATAGATTCTGTTTTTTGAGAGAACCCTGACTAATGTAATACACATTAGAATCCTCTGAGGAGTTTATTAAAACTTCAGAACCAAAAAGGGTGAGGCCGAAGAATCTGTATTTTTAAAAAGCTCTTGAGTGACTCGTAGGCGTGTGAAAAGTGTTGCAAAGAAGTTACCTTGACAGCTTTTGACACTTCTACCTGACCCTGCTTTAAACAAAGGGCAGAGTGAAATTGCTTTTTTGTCTCCCCCCAACCTCTGGAAAATTTCAATGTACAAAATTATCCTCTTGTAATTGTGCTAAAATTTTCTTCACTGTTCCACAGAGTGGTAATTTATAAAAGAAGGTCCAAATATTCTCTACCATAGGCTTAATTTCAGATTCACTTTCCTCGCAGTCAAGATGAAATCAACAAGTTAAACACCTTTGTTAGTTTTTCAAACAGGAGAGACAAATCTCCTTTGCATTAGCTTTATTATGGGTGACTCTTTGTATCTTCCTTATCTATTCTGAATAGATATTGGAAAATAAAGGTATGTGGGTAGCATTAATTCTAAAACAATCACAAGAACATTTTCCTAAAATAATGAAACCAACAGCATCCATGGTACATCTGATAAAAGATTAATTCTGCCCTCAAAAGTAAAGTATGCTTTAGCATATTAAGACTAAGGGTGCCATTGATAAATTAAAAATGGGCTTTCCCGACACTCAGCTTTCTAAAAACATTATGTTAACAAAGAATATCTCAGGCACTAAAATCACCTGAAACCTCAATGGAAACCAATTTCTATGTTTTTAAAAAGGGGGTGGGGGCTAACAGAGGTTAAATACATGTGGTCAGTTTGTTAAATACCCTGCCCAATCTCACTCTAACATCTAGCCTTTCCTGCATCGGTCATCAAGGAAGGAAGAGGAACTCCGATAAGGATTAAGGACACAAGAAAGCTCAGGTACAAGGTGTTAAATCTTTCACAGAGAAGAAAAAAGGGTATTAAAAATTTGGTTTGCGGGTCTTCCTCGTTCAGCTCAAGCAATCAAAATAAGAGAGCTCAGAGGAGCCTCCAGTATCAACATAAGTCAAGCAAGACCGAGTAAGTCCTTGGGGTACAGAAACACTAGTAGGCTTGGGTGTGTTTTAGAAAACTAATAAAAGGGCCTTGAAGATTTGGGTGGGGTCTGCTTCCATTCCCAAGGATAGAAGATCAGTTAGAAATTGGAGGCTAAACGTCTGGCAAAAACAAGAGGCAGGTACTGGTGAGTGTCAGCTTCTCTGAGACCCTGCAGCTTGACTGCCTCTTTTCAAATCCAAGGTGGGCCACTTATTAGTTGTGTGATTTTAAGCAAGTCATTTCATCTCTCTATACTGTGTTCCTTCTATACAACAGAGAAGATAATAGTACCTAGCTCACAGGGTAAAATATGAGGGTAGATAATGCATGTAAAATGTTGTGAACAGTGCAAGGTACATTGTAATTGCTCAATGCATTTTAGCTATTATCATCATAACCATCGCATGTTCTCCTTTCTTCTGTATTCTAATTCTTAGCCAGGACTAAGGGGTTGCCATGTGTAAGAAAATAATTCAAAAAAAAAAGTGTAGTCAAAGTGTGCTAGCTTGGGGCGCCTGGGTGGCTCAGTTGGTTAAACCGCTGCCTTCAGCTGAGGTCATGATCCCAGGGTCCTGGGATCCAGCCCCACATCGGGCTCCCTGCTCATGCAGGAAGCCTGCTTCTCCCTCTGCCTGCCGCTCCCCCTGCTTGTGCTCTCTCCCTCTCTCTCGCTATCTCTCTCTGTGTGTCAAATAAATAAATAAAATCTTTAAAAAAAAAAAAAAGTGTGCTAGCTTACTCACCTACTTATTCCAAGAGATTCTGATCACAATTTGGGGGCTCTAGGTTATGGGCTAAACTGTGGGATGAGAGTGAGGGAAACATAGGTAGAAGTTTATTATTGATCCACTATGGTAAAAAGAATCCCATTTTGTTACGGTTCTCAGCCTGACTACACATCAGAATCACCTGAAGAGCTTCCCAATTTAATTTCTGGCAGGGAGCTGCATCAATTTTATTCTAAAAACTCCCCAAGAGAGTCTAATGTGCATGCCGCCGGGGTTATGAACAAGTTCCAAGGCCTTTCATTCAAAGTGCGGTCCTCAAACCAACAGCATTGGCATCACTTGGAACTTGTTAAAAATGCAAAATCTCAGACCCCACCACAGACCTACTGAATCCTAATCTGCATTTTAATAAGATCCCCAGATGATTCTTTTTTTCCCCCCAATCTATTTATTTATAAGTAATCTCTACACCCAATGTGGGGCTCAAACGCACAACCCTAAGATCAAGAGTCTCATGCTTTATAGACTGAGCCAGCCAGGCACCCCCTCAGGTGATTCTTATGCACCAGAAGCTTGAGAAACACTGCTGAAGGGACAAGGGATTATGTCATCTTCTTGGGGACAGAAGAAGCAAAAACTGGGTAGGCATCTATCTCATAACCCAAGTGCTATGGACAATTTTTTAAACAGCTTGATTGAGTTATAATTTAAATACTATAAAATTCACCCATTTGAAGGCATAATTCACTGAGTTTTAGTAACTTATACAGTTGTGCAACCATCACCATCAACCATCACAAACCAGTTTTAAAGTGCTTCCATTGCACCACTCCCAAAATTCCCTTTATCCTTTTTGCCCATATGCAGTCAATCACAGCTCCCACCCCAGGGAAACAGTGACCTGCTTTCAATCACTGTACTTTTGCTTTTTCTAGAAATTCCATATAAAAATAATTATACCATAAGCAGTCTTTTGTTTCTAGCTTCTTTCACTAGCATAATGTTTTGGAGGTTCATCCTTGCTGCTACATGTATCAGTTGTTGGCTCATTTTGTTGCTGAGCACAATTCCATTATATAGCGACAATACCTTTTATCTTTCACCAGACGATAAATATTTGGATTGTCTCCAGTTCGGGCTTTGATAAAGAATGCTGCTGTGATCATCCACATACAATACTTTGTATGGACATACATTTTCATTTCTCTTGGATAAATAGCTAGAAGAATTTCTGAGTCATGTAAGTTTCATTTTTTACACATTTTAAAAACTGGTTTGTCTTATTAAGTTGTAAGAGCTCTTTATATACTCTGGATACAAAGTCCTTTATCAGATATTTGTTTCATAAATATTTTTTTCCATTCTGTGCCTTGTCTTTTCATTTTCTTAATGGAGGTTTTAGCTCTAACATTTAGGTCTATGGTGCTCCAGGAGTTAATTTGTGTGAATAGTGCAAAATGATTGTTCATTTTTTTGCATATAAATATCCAATTGTCCTATTCACCATTTGTTTAAAAAACCATATACTACGGAGGAATGCTAAAAAGCTCCAACTTGGGGGATGCCTGTGTGGCTCAGTCTGTTGAGTCTCACGGTCATGAATTCGAGCCCCACGTTGTGCTCCACACTGGGCATGAAGCCTGCTTAAAGGGGGGAAAAAAAACCTAAAACAAAACTAAACTCCAACCTGGAATGGTTGGCCTTGAAGGATCATATTTACTCAGAGACTGGGAAAACGAGGCAGCAGACAGGAATTGGTAGGCTAACAGAAATGTAGCTCAGGTTTTGGAAAGAAACATCATAAAAGAAG